AATATTAACTCGTACATAGATGCGCTTTTTCCGGTGAAATCAATCAAAACCAGGGTTAGTCAACTATCGCTATTTAATATTTGAACCATTTTGCATCGTTTTAAAGAAGACTTGCTAGTATAACTGCTTAATGCAAGGAAATATTTAATTAAGTGGTACATTAATTAAGAACAACAAATTAATTAATTTTTGACAAGTCAATTGTGCATTGTATTGTATTATTGATTATTTATCGAAGAGTCCATCTCTAGTGGATACAATTCTTCCCTATTTCGTCTATTCCATGTCCTTTCCTAGTTAAAATATTGAAAGTATTCGTTTTATGTCTCCTACTGGCATATTGTAACTCGTTTAGCTTTGAAATAAACCGTATCCACAGTCAAAGGATGTCCCTAAGGGGGCGTTCTTTCGCCCTTACTATGGAAGCTAGTGGTAGATAACATCCTAACCAAGCTGAGCAGATCTGCACTAAATGATCCTAGGCTACGCGGATGATCCTGATCATAATAACTAAGGGTTAGCTCAAAGGCATTATCACCAACCCAATGCAAGCTGCCTTAAACATCATTAAACACTGGAGCAAAGATGAGGAACTATTTCTAAACCTTAGCAAAACCATTTTAGTTTCGTTTATGAGAAGAAGAAAGCTGAAAATCCGCGCACCTACCCTTAAGAGAACGTTAACATTTGCCAATAAGGTGAAATACTCAGGGCACACATTGGATCACAAGCTCTGGATTAGTCATCTATAGCTGGAACTATCTCTTGAGAGGTAGTGGCTATCTGGACATGCCGCAAACTTGTTAGCAAGACATGAGAGCTCAAATCTAGAGTGATACTTATCTACCAGACAGTAATTGAAGCTCATGGTCACATCACATATACCTCATCGGTATGGTGGCCAAAAACTCAGTAGGTCACCGCTCAGATCAAACAAGGCTAATCTGTCTAGAAATAACAGGGGAAATGTTAAGCTGCCCTACCGCAGCCTTAGAGACGCTGAAGATGCCTCTACTTTACTTGCGCTAATAGGTTATTCCAGACAAATAAATTCAACAAAGAAAATTTGTGGAAATTAAATTCAATGAAAATTGAAAATTTGGAGTAATGAGAAGTTATTCATTCCACTTATTCTGTCAAAATAGTTTTATAATACCCACCATAAGTGCGAGATTTGAACCCGCGACCATCGCATTGTTAGTACGACACTCTACCAACTGGAACCAACCAACCCACCTGGCAGATTTTCGGTGAATCAACGTTCGCCTCCCATACACTCCAATTATTTCAATCCTCCAGTGGTTCACGAATGTGGCATCGGTCCCGCTAGGATAAGTCGCTTATATATCACTATTTCGCAGGTTTCGTCCACAATGTGTTAAAATTCCAAAGCACGCCATGGGACTAAAGTGAAGTTGAACAGAGGAAGAACTTTTGTCGGTCAAGATAACGAAACTAATTTTATAGAAAAAAGTTGTGGAAATTAAAGTCTCTGGAAATAATCTGTGTGTCAATTCGCCGAAAATCTGCCAGGTGGGTTGGTTGGCTCAGTTGGTAGAGCTTCGTACTAAGAATGCTATCGTCGCGGGTTCAAATCTCGCACTAACTCCAATTTTCCAATTTTCCATTGACTTTAATTTCCACAAATTTTCTTTGTAAAATTACTTTCGCTATCTTAATCGACAAAAATTCTCTCTGTATTCAATTAAATTCAAGCCTCGAGATCTGAGAGGTCACCTGCTTAAAGACGGTCTCACCTAAATATTCCAATCACTGTGGTAATGAACATTCGCCAATCATGGGATTACTTCGCTGAGATACACAGATAATCTAGCGAACGGCGCTGCCGGTTCTGGATTGGCTGGACTGGCATTTCAGAAATTTCCAGCCACTGGGCAAATATCCAGCCATATTCCAAGCTGAATTGCTTGCAATCAATATTTGTGCGCAAGAGTGTTCAAATTAAGACACACGTATTGACACTATCAGACAGCCAAGCGGCTCTAAAGGCTGTGAAGGCATGTAAATACGTATCGAAGCTAGTCCGGGAATGCCACTAGAACCTAAAAATCCTAACGATGCGCAACCTGGTAACCTTGATGTTGGTGCTGGTCACGAGGAAGCATAGCCAGTCTTGCAAATAAGGTGCTGAAACACCATTTTGCGGCGTCATGAAGAGCCACGTAACAAACGAACCATATAAATGGGAGAAGAACCAATTGTCCACATACTAGAGACAAACTCCAGGACTGAGACAGGTAAAAAGAGTGATCACAAAAGAAGGAAGAAGAAGTCTTATCCACACATGAATAAAAATAATATTAGATTGGTGCTCTAAGTGCTCACCAGACAGTGCAGACACTGCCCAGTGAAATATCACCTAAACGCAATAGAAAAGCGGCAGCTGAAACCACAGAACATTTTCTTTGCGACTCTCCGGCCCAACTCTGGAAAATGCTCATGTACATCGTACCTCCAGGGGGTACTGCCAATACCTCCAAGAATGTGCTAAGTATCCCACAAGAAAATAGCTTCCTTCGCAAAAAGACCTCAATTTCTTGGATACAAATTAAAAAAATGCCTTGAAAAATAGCTAAAAATACTTTGATATTACAATATATTTCAGTTCTTTCCTTTTTATATGTATTTTGTAAAATTTAAGTAGCCCCCAGTGTTTATTCAAAACTTATTTAAAAACTTCCTTTAACAATTTATTTATTTTTCTTATGCCCCCGTTTTCGACTCCACTGCACTAAATTTTCGAGTGTTAACATATACCACGTTTTTCTATTTGATTTTCTAAGGACAACAAAAAAAACCGCATGCTTTTATCATTAAAAGTGCCACGGCAGGAGAAGAATGACCATAGGCCCCCCGGCTATTTATTGAATGCCTCTATTATTTAGGGTCTTCCGAGGAGCTGTTTTTCCGAAAAGCTGTTTTTCAGAGGAGCGTTTTCCCGAGGAGCTGTTTTTCCGAGAAACTGTTTTTCCGAGGAGCTCTTTTTCCGAGGAGCTCTTTTTGCGAGAAGCTGTTTTTCCGAGGAGCTGTTTTTCCGAGGAGCCGTTTCTTTCAACGAATCTGAACAAACGACCTAAAAAGGATCTCATCAAATTAGGCCGCACTGCTCAGAACAGAGACAACTGGAAGTCTATGTTCTGAGCAGTGCGGCCTAATTTGATGAGATCCTTTTTAGGTCGTTTGTTCAGCGGTCTTCCTTGATTTTGTTTGTCAGCTCTTGGTCTGCACTCAATAATGAGTTTTTTGCTCCATCTCCCGTCCTCAGATCTTGTGATGTGGCCTGCCCATTTCCACAATATTTTCTACCACAGTTCTTATGCGGATCTCATCATTCCTTACTCTAAAGTCAATCCAAGTATGGATCTTTCCATTCATTTCTATGTTACTCACAAATTTTCTGCTGAAGCTTTGGTGAGAGTCAAAGTCTTCGCACCATAGGTCAGGACTGGGAGGACACACTGGTTGACCCGGACCAGATAGGCATATTCGGGTAGTCCCCTTAATGCGCGTTCTGCACAAACCTAAAAGACTCTCAAAACTTCTTAGCGATTAAAACCGTCATAGATCAAGAAAATAGTGGCAGGGTACCCTGGTAAGCCTAAGTTGGAGCTGTGCACATTTTGGAAACAAGGTAGGCAAACAGTTCCGATTTATTTGATTCTTACTTTGCAATACATAAAATCCGTGAACCAGCTTCAAATTGTTTTTTTATTTTTTTTATTATTTTTCCTTATGGGGTTTATCACGTAATTGTTGATCGATAACAATAATTGTTTCTTGTTTTTTTTTTTTTTTTAATATCTGATTTATGTGAGTGCAGCTCTTCAAGGTTCAAGTTCGCGTATTTCGCTTCCAGTTGAAACCATACAAATTATTCAAATATAGCGCCACTAGCGCACGGCACACCAACGCCTTCGGCTTGCAGTTGAAGTCGGAAAAATGGTACTATCAGTACCATAAACCACGAATTCTGATCGCCAACCAACTATGGTCGCTCGTGTTTTGTCGGCAAAAAAAGAACACACCCTTCGCGCATAGAAAGACCGGAAGTTAGTGATTTCGCCAGTTAATGAATACATTCTGGTTTTGTGCAACCAAGAAGAGATCTCGGTAACATTCAACCTGGAAAGAGAGCGAACAGGTAGGTGAGGCGTTTTTTTCTATTCGTGGTTGAATTCTGCCAGTTGCGCTTACAGCGCACGCTACGCCGAAGGTGATTTTAAAATTTTAACCAATACACCAACATCTGTTGGTATTATTACTCCTTAGGTCTTTTCTCATGTTTCTGTTGATTTACTGGTTAAGTTCTTCTTAGTCCTGGTTTTTGTGATTCATTTCTTGTCTCAATATCACTAAATTTTTCGTAGGTATCTCAATCATTACTTAGTAAACAAACAAACATACAAAATATACACACCTACACCACTGTACATTTTGCCTGCCATTACATAACTTTCAATAAAAAGGTCTCAGGTTCGTTGCGGGCTATTAATTCTCCACCTCTTGTACATTCGGGTCTAAATCCCGAGTGAAAAATAACAGTAATCCACGCCGCGATGGAGATTTTAATTCTGCGGTATTTCACCCTCCACAAGAAAAAAAAGTAGTTAAAATTAGGCTTCTCAGTATTTTTCTTGGGGTGAATTTTGTATTAATCAGCCAAATAGCTGTTTGGCTTTGGAAATATGCAGCGGTATATGTATAATGAACAATAAAGCCAGCAAACAGCTTTGAGAGCCTCATTCTCGAAAACGAGATGCGGCTTTATAATGATAACGAGTGCGCTTTTTTACATCTCAGTTCTAGCTAGTATATAATATTTATCGAAAATAGAATGTTTCTTACACTAACGCATTTTTTTGTTTTAATCCACTATCTTCACAGATAAAAATGAATATGTAAGAATTCGAAAATACTTATAACCTTAAAATTACCTAGCTCACTAGAAGCATAAGTTTCCATTAAACTGAAACTCTCACCTTGGATATCCTCAACAATCCAGCACTAAGCAACATAATCCTTTCGCTTAGAGCTACTGGCCTCATCTGCCCATCGACTTCTCGTTTCCAATAGTACCCGGGTACTGGGTGACCTTGGGCTATACACGGCAAAGTAACATCGTCACCAACGACCACTCTTTTGGCGTTAAATTTGTCCACGGTAATTCTCGGTTGCACGGTACCTTTGGGTTCGGTGACGATGATTCGACCTGGATATGCCGATGTTTGGAGATCACCTAGAAAGAGGAGAGTGAAGAGGTTAGTAATTAATTGAGACGGAAAGATAGTGAAATGTAGGAGTATCGATAATCGACGAATCAGATGAAGTACATCTGCATATTCTTTCTATTCGATAGGGTTGTCGTACCGATATCCATGAGCATAATGTGGTATAAGTCACTGATATTATCATCAAAAGTATCTTATTTATATTTTGAATTCAAATAATCGAAACCTAATTAATTTTGAAAGTCTAGGTATTGCCTTTTCCATATTTTGCCAGCATTGATTTCCTGGTTGCCTAATTAGCAATTAGATATCAATATTGGGAAATACCGACATCGCGTTGGACAGAAATCGTAAAGAGAATCAGCAAAAATACATTCAATAATCCGAAATATAAAATATGATTTTGTTGTTGGATGCAATTGAATCGATTTAGCTTCACTTTTATCAATTGGGAAAAAAATAATTGTTTAATTTACAGTTTCAATGATAACATCTTGAATTTACGCATTGAGGATTAATTATTTTCATCTGTTTGCCACCGGTTGAAATTGCTTTATGCAAATGACAACAATTGCACCAATAAAGTACAAATCCAGTTTACGCCAACAATAAAATCGAATATTCCATTTACTCCGGGCTACAAAACCCGGCACGGGAGCATCAACTTATCGACTCACTTAAACGACGTTTCGAATAATTCTCCCTTGGCATCGGCGACTGCCAGGATTTTTATCTCCCTGTTGCCCACTTTTTCTTTAGGGATTCGGATAAAAAGGTACATAATTTAGACGCCAAAGCCTAAAAAGAAAACTTGTTTTTGACGTACAAGTGAGACCTATGAAAGAGAAACTTCAACTAAAACTTGTCGTTTATTTAAACCTAATGTGGGCTTTCATTTTCCAGAAGTTTATAATTTCTTACATTTCTTTGAGAAAAATTATTGAATTCAGTATCTTTTTTAAACAGAACACAATTATTGTAGCAATATTGGATGAAAATCCTTTTCTCTTAATTAATTAAAGCCGTCTCAGATTTAAATCATTCAGCCCAACTTTCTATAAAATTCAATCAATTATAGAAAGAAAATAGAGATAGAAATTTATCCCAAACTTTGTCAATTTCCCAGTTTAAATAGAAAAGTCGAATTAGGCAACTCGCTTAAATAAATTAGCAGTTTTAAATTAAATTAAAATAAACACGTTTCAATTCCATTATCAAATTGAAAATATATTTACATTTGTTTTTTGTACTCATCAAAAATTGTGTATTAGTTAATAATTAATTAACGATTTCCCTGGAAACTTTTTATCACACCCTAAAGAACGCGTAAAACGGTGCGCTGTTGTTTCATTAATTACCGCGCCTTTTCTCAAGTCGTTACCCCCAACAAAAAAACTTTTTTAAATTGCCTCATTTCGGCTCGATATTGGCTAAAATGTGTTCAGCTTCAGCAGTTGAAACATTTTAACTCGAAATCATAAAACTTCTGGAGAGAAATAAACCGAGCTGTTTATCTTCAGAAGAAGGTACAATGTCGTTTTTGGAACGAATAAAACTTTTAATTTCCTTCGTATTTAGTTTGTACTCTGTTTTTGTTACATGTAAGAGGAAGAGCAAAGTGGGAAGGATTTTATTTTACGACTCCTGCGTCTCTATGAGGCAAATTTGAACTGCTAGGTTTGAAGTTGCAATGAATATCTAGTCAATTTCATAAATTGCAATAGAAGGTTTAATATTAAAATCTCAATTTCCTACATAATGTACTAACAATTTTCCCTTATTTCACTAAACATTTATTTTTATCACTTACAGCACGCACATAATTATTTATATTCTTCTTCTGATTTTTTAGTCCGTATTCGTCCACTCCTGGATAAAGACCTTTTCCATATCTTTCCACGGTTTCTTGTCCTGAGCTTTTTATATACAGTTCTTTCCTGCGAATTTTTGAACATCGTCTCGCCAAATTTTCTGGGGTCTTCCAACACCTCGCTTTGTTTCTCTTGGACACCATACTATCAATCTAGTGGTCCATCTGTCATTTTCAGCTGTGTTGTTCTTCCGCCACTCTTGTTCTTTGCTTGATTTCGTCATTCTGCACTCGATCTCTTAAACTAACACCCAGCATGATCCTTTCAATTGCACGCTGTGTTACCTGCAGGGTATGTATAGATCTCCAGGTTAAGGACATTGTTTTCAAGCTATATGTAAGAAACGGTAATAGGCATGAATCAAAGACTTCTCGTTTGAAATTTATTGGTATATCGTCCGATCCAAGGATTAATAGCAGCCTGTAACATTTGAAATGTCACAAAAATATATTTATTCTCCTTAATTATTTTTATATATTATGGACTCATGTAAAAGTACTATTTCGTACACCTAGCGACATCTATGATTCTTCTGACTAGTTTTCCTAACCTAATATCGAGAATTCTGTTGTTCCGAGTCACCTGTAGCGCTGTCATTTTTATGATTTTTATAAGCTTGACAGAGTGAGAAAGAAAAGACAGAACCAATTTGGCACTTTTGACTTGCTCTTTTCTCTTTTGTTTTGGGACCGAACAGGTCGTCCAGATTTTTAGAATTATAAAAATCTTGAAGCTTAATCTTTGTTTTTGACCATCAAGTCCATATTCTTGAAAATTAACTAGCTAAAAGAGTGCTTGATCGTGTCTACTGGAAAGTTTCCTGGAAAATCAACCGATTGTTGATTTTTGTGAAGATTTTGGAAAGTGAGGTTACTATCGGCCGTTCAGGTATGTAAATTCCTTTTTCTCTCTGATGAATGAGTCCTTATATCCCCTCAATTCATTCAGGCACCTTCGGCAGGACGAAAAATCCGTGCCTGCACTTCTCCAAGTGAAAATTGACAAATTTGAGACCCCGCTGTCCTGGAAACTCAGAGCAAATCTGGGCCCCCTTTACAAGAACAGTCTGTGTCCTATAAGAAATTGATCCCCAACCATTATTTGGTTGTCTCCAGCCAGTTTGGTACCTCCAGATCTCAAATTTGTGAAAACTTCCGAGGCTTTACAAGGATTCCGTCCAGGCTTGTATAACTACTTATAGACTGTGAGATAGGGGCTGTTTAGTAAAGTCATTTTTTTTTGTCTGACATTTTGAGGGCTGAATGTGGCTACTAAGCTGATGAGAATATAGGTGATTTTAATGCCTGCCTCCCGTTCGAAAATTTGCAGAAGAAAAAAATTGATTTACACGAAGAATTTTTTTTTTAATGATCTCAAACTTTTTGGCTGCTAAATAAAAGATTCACATTGATGAATAATCCACCCATAAAAAATACCAGATGCTTTTCAATAGCTGAAAAAGTGGGGATGAATGTCAACTTCCAAGAGAAGAGAAAAGAACCTTCCGCGTTTACTTTTTGTCTGGTAATCGAGAGAATGGAAGGTTTTGTTGTGAAAATAACGCTGAAAAATCACCAGACGGTAATCACAGTTAAGTCGAGTTTTCCAGCGAAAACTTCTGTGGACATTTCGAACAGGGGGCAGGCATTAAAACCACCTTAATTCTCATCAGCTAACTAGCCACATTCATCCCTCAAAATGCCAGACAAAAAAAAAAAAAAAAAGACTCCACTAAACAGGCCCTATCTCAGGGTCTATTACCTATGGGTGTCTTAAACGTGCCATCTTAATTACCGTAACTTATTTTTACCTTTTCTTTATCGCCCCCTATCGTTTAGCTTCATTAGCTAATTAATATCTTTGTAAATTCACTTACCGACCTAATTGTTTACCGTATAGTAGCATTAAGCTAGAGTAGCTAACTACTGTTTAAATAGAATTATTAATTTAATTAATTTATCCACAATCATCAAATAAGGGCAGTTTCATCCATTCATATGAAGCATCTAAAGTAATACTTTATCCACTAGTGGGATAAAATAACTTTATTCCACTAGTGGAATAATGAAATTAGGAAATACGAAATTTTTATTTTATTTATTGATATTAACATTAACATTTATATTAATAGATACTCCGTTGTTTGATTTGTCTCCTTTAACTTCGCTATTGTTGGTAAAAAGGTGATAATTTCCATCAGCTTGGGAAGGCACGTTTATGGGTGTTTTGGCAGAATTACCAGGAGCAGGAATAATGGGTGTCTCCTCTTGTAAGGGACACCTATTTTCCTCTTGGAATTGTTTGCAATACTAAGCTTATTATTGGAAATGGAATCCTCCATATAACTTTTAGCAATAGACGAGCTTTTCTCTTCCATCCGCCATGTGTATGTACGTGTGATTGTGGATAAAACGTTGTATTACATTCGTGTTTTAGTTGCATTTTATCCACTTAAGAAAATTAAACATTCTTGCGTGGATAAAATGCTTCCTAAAACACTTATACAATAAATTACTATAATTTTTATCAGAGTCAGATATTGGCTTTTATTATCGATTTCTCTATCATTATTTATTATCCAATAAGTATGCATTATAATAAATTTACTTCCGTAATATCGAGTACTGACCGATATAATATTATTGTGAATTTTACTAGTAAAATAAAATGCTACTTCATTTTACTAGTAAAATAAAGTGCTACTTTATTGCCTAGCTGAACTACCTGACAACCTCCCAAAGTAAAACAGGTCCTCACAACCTGCCAAGGTGAAACAGGTATACCTACCCGAATTTTAATTTTTTCAATTTTTAACAAAAACCAGTCCAATCGTACATAAAATCATGTATATAACGCTTACATAAACAGGCTTTATCGAATCATTATTTAATAGCCTCGCTCGCAAGCTCGCTCGGCCATAAAATTATTAGTACAATAAAGCCTTAATTTATGTACTTGTTATATAATAGTAGATTATACCACGAGTCAATAATGATAGCTATTATTCCCGAGGTAACATTCCGAGGGAATAATAGCCATTATTGCGAGTAGTATACTCTTCTTTATTTACGACAAATTAATTTATTTGAGATTTTTAATGAACAAATTTCATCCATCTGAATTTTCAATACATATCC